AAGGAGTACCTGTCTAATTCTCCTATTTTAATGTCCCCCATCCCAGGAAAACCTTTGTTCTTGTATCTATCCATATTCGAGAACTCAATGGGGTGTGTCCTAGGTCAACATGATGAATCTGGAAGAAAGGAAAGATCCATCTACTATCTGAGCAAGAAGTTCACCGATTGCGAGGTCAGATATCCTCTTATTGAGAAGGTTTGTTGTGCTTTAGTCTGGGCTACGAAAAGACTTAGACAATACATGTTGTATCACACCACTTGGTTAATTTCCAAGCTAGATCCACTAAAATACATTATGGGTGTACCCGCTCTATCTGGAAGGTTAGCTCGATGGCAGATGCTATTGTCTAAATTCGACATCGAGTACGTGAATCAGAAAGCAATCAAAGGAAGTGCCATATCAGATTTCTTGGCAAATAGAACCGATGAGAGTTATGATCCCTTAAATTTTGATTTCCCGGACGAAGACTTGATGGCTTTATCCTTAGAAGAAGCAAATATTTCAACAGATAGTTCCTGGAGAATTTATTTCGATGGGGCATCAAATGCACTAGGACATGGCATCGGGGCAATACCGATCTCTCCAGATGGGAGTCACTACCCATTTACTAGCAGACTGAACTTCGATTCCACCAACAACATGGCGGAGTATGAAGCCTGTGTCTTGGGAATTCGAGCTGCATTGGGGCAAAATGTAAAGACCTTGCGGATATATGGAGATTCAGCATTAGTAATCTATCAGCTCCGTGGAGAATGGGAAACCAAAGATACAAAACTGATGGAATACCGGAAGTTAATATTGGATCTGCTCGAAGAATTCGTTGAAGTCACCTTCCACTATGTGCCAAGAGAAGAAAATCAAATGGCTGACGCTTTGGCTACCTTGGCATCCGCATTCAAAGTTGGCGGAAAATCTGAAATGATGCCAATTGACATGCAGTCGTATGAGTACCCTTCTCATTGCTACCAGATTGAAAAAGTAAAAGACACTAAGCCTTGGTACTACGACATTTTACAGTATATCAAGCATCGAAGTTATCCAGAAGAAGCCACTGAAACCGATAAAAGAACCATCAGAAGGATGACAGCTGGATACATCCTTGATAGGGAAGTCTTATATAAGAAAAGCCATAATCAAGTTCTGTTAAGGTGCGTCGATGCTGAAGAGGCAAAGATGATAATGGAAGAAGTACATGACGGAGTTTGTGGAGCACATGCAAATGGACATATGATGTCGAGATAAATAATGAGATGCGGATATTTCTGGTCCACACCAGAAAGTGATTGCATCAACTATGCTAGAAAATGTCATAAATGTCAGATTTACGGTGATAAAATAAATGTTCCACCTCATCCGCTTCATGTCATGACATCACCATGGACTTTCTCTATGTGGGGCATGGATGTAATTGGGAAAATCCATCCAAAGGCTTCGAATGGTCATCGTTTCATCCTTGTAACTATTGATTATTTCACTAAGTGGGTAGAGGCTGCTTCCTATGTCAGTGTCACTCAATCCGTTATTTGCAAGTTTTTGAAAAAAGAGATCATATGTCGGTATGGTTTACTTGAAAGGATCATTACCGATAATGCTACAAACTTGAACAATAAAATGATGAAAGCTTCTTGTTAGCAATTCAACATAAAGCATCACAATTCTACTACCTACAGACCAAAGATGAACGGTGCAGTAGAAGCAGAAAACAAAAACATTAAAAAGATAGTGGAAAAAATGACCGAAACCTACAAGGACTGGCATGAGAAGTTGCCTTTTCGCTTTGTTCGCTTACCAAACCTCAGTACGAACCTCGACTGGGACAACTCTATTTTCACTAGCTTATGGAATGGAAGCAGTGCTGCCCATTGAAGTAGAAATTTCGTCATTATGGGTCTTAACAGAAGTTAAATTGGATGACGCAGAATGGGTACAATCCAAATATGATCAACTTAATCTGATAGATGAAAAGAGACTAAAAGCCAGTCACCATGGTCAAATCTATCAGAAACGAATGATTCGAGCACATGACAAGAAGGTGCGCCCAAGAATATTCCGTGAAGGAGATCTGGTGCTAAAGAGAATTTTGACAGTTCAAAAAGATTTCCGAGGAAAATGGACGCCAAATTGGGAAGGACCTTATGTCGTGAAAAAGGCCTTTTCCGGGAGGGCACTTGTCCTGGCTAGAATGGATGGACCTGACCTGCCACATCCTATCAATTCAGATACAGTCAATAAATACTTCGCTTAGGATGAAAACCTGAAAGAGCATCCTAAGTCGGAAAAAAAAAGGTAAAACGTTTAGGGTGAAAACCCGAAAGGGCGCCCTAAATTGAAAAAAATGAAAAAAGAGAAAAAAGAACAAAATAAAAAGAGAAAGAACAAAAAGGTGGGTTCAATATGAAAACCCGCAAAGGGCGTCTTGTAACTAAGGATGGGTCCAAATTGAAAACCCAAAAGGGCGATTTGGATAATTCAAGGAATCCAGACGGTTGAAACTCCCCGGCATCTGAATTTCCCACAGACTCAACAAGTCGGAGAAAGGTTGCACTCTCCTGAATGTTGTCGCATTTTCAAAGATCCTTTGGCAAAGGTTGTATTCAAGGTCACCTAACGGCTTTTCAGCTCGGAAGTGCCCACATTATTGAAATCTAAGACATTCATTTACACCTCATTATGTCTTCACATTCTAGAATGTTTGTCGTGTATTATTTGTTCTTTTTTCCATAAATAAAAGACAATCTTCTTCTCTAGACCAATTCCTTTGAGCATTTTGGATTGAGCTTAAACTTCATGATTTGTTTACTTATGCAAAAGATATTCGTATATTACTGTACAAAGATTCATTGAAAAGTACATGTACTCGAAAGCCGATCAAGGCTCATGCACATACTTGAGTTGGCCGATAAGTATTTCTCAGATCAAGAATAAAAAACATCAGATTTGAATATTTGAAGAATTCTAGACCAGGGATCGAAATTTCAAGATTCCAGAGTCAAGATTCCAGACAGATTTTAGCTAGAGTCAATTTCAACTTCGCGACGAAGGATATTGAACTCAAAGCGACACAATTCGCTCGAGAGTAGATTTTAACTTCACGACGAATGATATCTAGCTCGAAGGCGAATTTCACAATAAAGAGGTCATCCACGGTTTCAACTTCACGGCGAAGGGAATCGTGTCCACCCACAATATATGATACTTGAATTTCAAATTCACGACGAAGGATATTCAAGTCAAAGCTCAACTTCACGACGAAGGGGGGCCATCAGCGATTTCAACTCCATGACGGAGGATATCGGGCCACTCGAGATAACACAAGTTCAACTTCACGACGAAGGGACGACTGGTTGTCAATAAACCACTTTTCAGTTTCATTCAGAGCCAATTTCAACTTCACAACGAAGGATATTGAACTCAAGACAACACAAGTTCAACTTCACAATGAAGGGACGGCTGGTTGTCAACAAACAATTTCCCAATTTCAGAGCCAATTTCAACTTCACAGCAAATGATATTGGACTCAGGACAACACAAGTTCAACTTCACAACGAAGGGACGGCTGGTTGTCAACAAACAATTTCCCAGTTCCAGAGCCAATTTCAACTTCACAGCGGAGGATATTGGACTCAGAACAGTACAACTTACTTGGATTTCAACTTCACGAAGAAGGATATCTAATTCCCATGCTCAACTTCACAACGAAGGGGCCATACACAACTTCACAACAAAGGGTATTGTACCTTAGCAGATTGACCCAACTTCACGACGAATGAGTCATTTGTAACACAACAATACCAAAGCCTTCAGGTCAAGTTTCACCTTCACGACGAAGTATCTTGAGCCAGAAGACGATCCATGAGCTACTGGTCAAAGCTTTGAGTTCGATTTTAACTTCACAACGAAGGATTACGTGCTCAGAATTTCCTGGTTTTGACTCAACCTCACGGTGAGGAGGTTATTTTTGGATTTAATCCAAACATCAGATTTCAACTCTACAACAAAGGACATTCAATATAATCGAAACTGGTGTCTTTTAATCTTTGCTCTATTTTCATTACACGACAATGAGCAAAGAGGGGCAGCTGAAGACACCTAATTTCTCTCGACACCAACACTCCCACGGACATAGGAACACCCACAATAGAACAACCAAATAGCATTAGAAGTCTATTTTGTATAGGATTCTAAAGATAATGCTTGTTCCAGTATAAATAATGTAATCAAAAACCCATTGTAACACAACGACAGTTGATACAAAATAGAAGCAAAGATTACGAATTAAAACCAGAGCATTTTTTCAACATTTGCGAAAACAATAGAAGGTAAACTTCATACCTTTTACTCTTTTTATGCTTGCTTGCTTGTGATGGCTGCGTTTTTGACTCGAAAACCACCTGTAGGGGTGTTTGGCCGAGGACAAATGGGGGAGTCTTTCGGACTTTCGTTCTTAGATTCACGCTCCCCTGAGGCTAATTTTTTGAAACAGAGATGTTTTTGGAGAAGTGGGGCTCGAGATCTACTGAAAAAAACAAAACTTTAGATAAAATACTAATTAGGGACCATTTTATAAATTGAAAATAATTAAGGGATAAAGTTATAATTTACCTTTTTTATATGTTTTCTTATCCAACCCTCTCTTCTTGATCCGCACACCTCCCCCTTCCCTACAGCTATGACCCTCGCAGATCTAAACCCACATTGTCGGCCACTGTTCATTAATGGTCACTTTGGTTACCTTTTCCTTTTTCCTTCTTTATATTACACATTTTGGTATTAAAACCATCATATATTAAATATATAAAAAATGAAATTTTAATATAAGAAATCTTAAAGTCAAAACCTCTATCCTAAACTATTTGTATGTCAAACATTGGTGTTAAAATATGGAAACCAATAAGTACATAATTTATAAAAGACACTTGAGATATTTTTTATACATTCTATAGTAAAACCATGTTTTTCCTCATATTCAAAGAACAATAGAGGAAAAAATTAAAAATCTAAACCAATGGATCCATGAAGAATATAATACATACTTGTATGTAGAAAGTGGTGAAGTCATTATAGCCATCCCTGTGACAAATAAGCATGTCAACAACCATGCCACACATTACAACTGTAAAAGAATCAATAAAGAGCCAGAAAGTTCTAGAAATCATAAGCTTGACAAAATAGGTCAAATTACTGACCAAAAGTCGTGACTATAATGTAAAAGACTGAGTACGTCATCAAACATTGCTTACATATAATATTGTCAAAGGAAAATGTGATTTCAGATTATTATAAAGTCAACTAGAAAAATATACAACACAGAATGACTACCTAAAATGAAAAGCAGTACATGCAGTGCGTATGTAACTCCTATATGGCATGCATCACCAGGTATAAAGCATTAAAATGAAGACTGACAAAGTCAAGATAGAGGGATACTATGTCTTCAACTGGTAGCAAAACTTAAAATCATTTAAATCTGATTCAGTACAAACTGTATTTGAGAAGTTGCAGATGATAAAACAAACAGCATCCAAAAGCAAAATTCAATAAAGGTTGCGTTACCATGATAAATTTTGGAACCACAAGTCTCTGAAATATTGATGAAAATATGTATAAACATTCATCATCACGATTGCAAGGCATAAGAAGAAAATCAACAACTGTACAAACCAGTTTAATAGGACAAAAACATGTGGTTATCTAAGGTTTTTGATAGATATGATAATTTGTCAAAAGATCAATGATATTAAATCTACTGGGAAAGTAGATGATTCACAAGAAAACCATTAATAAAGTGCCACATACTTTTTATAATGAGGGGCATCCCTATCCAAACGAGCAAGAGTTCCAGCCAATATGGAAACCTATAATTTTTTATTCAATCCATAACAATACCAGTTAGTTATGGTTTTATGTTCTATAGAAGCATTACATCAAAGCCATGATTTTTCTCAAAATCCAACTTAAGGACTCCTTTCACTTAAATGATTTTTTACAATCCTAGTAAATGGAATTAAACATAAAACTAAACATCAGTGCATAATGTTAACAAAATAAAAGTGTTAAGTTAACAAAATAAAAGTGTTAAATTAACAAAAGTATAACAAAGACTAATAATATGATTCAACTACCTTCTCTCCACTATCATTACCAACAACCCTGATTTCTAAGCCAACACAAGCGGCCTCTGGGGCAAGTGGAATCTCCTCATAGTCTAAAAATTGAATTGCATCAGAATCGTAACGAAAGAAGCCAAAATCATGAACCTAATAAAAAAACATAGTGTTTTTCAATTAACATGATGGACAAATAATAGTTGCTGTTGAAAGAACACAGAAGAAAAAATTAACTTCTATGCAAGGCATATGAAGCATCAGATGATCTAAATACAACCAAATCAAGTAATTTCAATCAATATAGGCTCACAAATCAAGCCTTCCATGGAAAACAACAAAAATTATACAGATAGGCAATAGCAGTACATTTCAAAAGTCACATCAAGAAATCCTAGTGCATAAAAATGAACTAAATAATACCAAAACAAGATAAATGCTATGTAGCAGAGTTTACTCACCGGATCTCTATATATAGGATGCACGGTTATTTCTTCTCGATTTACAAACATTGCTTCGGCAACAACAGGTCCTAAAAACAGACAAAACAGAGTCATTTTTCTCAATTTACAAGCATTGTTTCCAACATTTTAAAGACAGAGACAACAACATTCAGCTATTGTCTTTTTGTCTATTATCTTCTTTATTCTTCTTCAAAAAGTTGCTTAAAAGTAAAAACTATAGTCGTAAAAATAAAATCATACTCAAGAATAAATATGAGCATATAGAAGACACAATCAAAGTATCAAACATAAGTGATCCATTGATCCGTGCAACAACAAAATCATTCATTTAATTACTCAAAACAATTAAATTTATATATTTTTTCAATTACTAATAAGTAACGAACTTTTTCACTTCTATATGGAGAAGCAACAGAGGAAATAGCAAAAGTATCAAGCAAAGCCAACACAAAGAACAATTAAATAAAGAAATTAAGTGTTGACGGAAGTCGACCTGGTTTGACCACATGGTTATTAGTGAGAATAATCCCCCTTCGCTTATCAATGACAAAACCAATAGCATAACTAATACCGGCATGCTCCGTCAATCATCAGCATTAGCGAGGTTCTCTCTGAGCGGAGGATCGATGTCCATGGAAAGCTTTTCCTTGATCGTTTTTAAGTTCTGAGAAGAAGGGATTGGGTGTTTCCTCCAAACTACGCTCGGCATTCTCCTCATCACAATTTTCTTTCAGCCATAACCAAGCGGGGAGAAGGGTACTTTAGACAAGAGGCAGGGAATAAGTAAATACCTAAGAGAGATGGGGATGACATTCCAGGAAAGTAGGAAAAAAATCACTGTTGGTAATCATTCTTCCCCTGCACTTGGGAATGTAGTCCATCCAAACATGGATATGTTTACCCGGAAAAAAAGATTACTAGCTGGAATTAAATATAACCTGAACCAAACGGGGCCTAAAGATCTTGTATTTGATGCACGAACCATCTTACCTCAGTTGTTAAAGGAATCATTATTGTTCCTAAAAGTCATGGGTTCGAGCACCAGCGACTATAGTAGGGTGATTGAGCGTTCATTGTCAAATGGTTGAGAGTATTTAGAACAGATACTACTTTGTAATCACCTTAGTATAATAGAAAAAAATACCTTGTATTTTATCTTATAAATCCATTCAACTCAAAAACTTTCGAGTCCGCGACGAGAGCTTAATAAGCCAGTGCAGAAACATTCAACATAACAGATTACGGTATGTTATTGGAATAGCGGTTGTTATAGAGCGATGAAGGTACCATTTGAAACCGTTATTCATTGTGGTATTTGCAATGACTACTATAATAGCACTCGTTATTATCGTAATCGTAATAAATACGACTGAAAACGCGACCATAACCACAGATTAAATCTCATGAGAGTCGAATTCTGATAACTACCCCTACTTAGTATATGAACAAATCCAACTATACATGAACAATATCACCGTATGTGGGAATCGAACTCAGGACCACGTGGTTAAAATCTACGCACTCTACCATATGAGATAAGGCAGCAAGTGGCAAAAAAGTTTCAAGCATGTAATTTCTTTTTAATTATTAAGGTAGTTTGCCTTTGATTAAGATAAAAAAAACTCGTTTGTCATACCAAAAAATCATTAATCACATTGTAACTAATCTGAAATTTTCATGTGAATTGCCTTGATTATCCATTCAAAGGCCAAAGTAGAAGTAAAACCTTGGATCAAATTCAGATCACTACTCGTACCTAGTATATGACCACATTCAACTACAATTGAACAACAATGTTGTTTGTAGGAATCGAACCCACAACCACGTGGTTAAAAGCCACACACTCTACCAGCTGAGCTAAGATGGCAACTGGCAAGTGACAAAAAGGTTTCAAGCATGTAATTTCTTTTTAATTATTACGGTAGTTTACGTTTGATTAATAAAAAAAAGTTCGTTCCCCATACAAAAAAAGTCAGTAATCACCTTGTATCCGATCCGAAATTTTTAGGTGAATTGCCTTGATATCTACTCAAAATCACTTGGATCGAATTCGGATCACTATCACTAACCTAGTGTATGATCATATTCAACTACACGAGAACAATAGCACTGTCTTTGGGAATCGAACTCACGACCACGTAGTTAAAAGCCACATGCTCTACCAGCTGAGCTAAGACGGGATGTGACAAAAAGGTTTCAAGCATGTAATTTCTTTTCAATTATTAAGGTAGTTTGCCTTTGATTAAGGGGGAAAAAGCTCGTTTGCCATACCAAAAAATCATCAATCACATTGTATCTAATCCGAAATTTTCATGTGAATTGCCTTGATTATCCATTCAAAGGCCGAAGCAAAAGCAACAATTTGAATCAAATTCAGATCACTACCCGTATCTAGTGTATGAACATATTCAACTACAATCGAACAACAACACCATATGTGCGAATCAAACCCACGACCACGTGGTTAAAAGCCACGCGCTCTACCAGTTGAGCTAAGACAGTGAGTGACAAAAAGGTTTCAAGCATGTAATTTCTTTTTAATTATTATGGTAGTTTGTGTTTGATTAAGAAAAAAAAAACTCGTTTCCCATACCAAAAAAATCATTAATCACCTTGTAACGGATCCGAAATTTTTAGGTGAATCGCCTTGATATCTATTCAAAATGCACGGGATCAAATTCTGATCATTATCACTACCTAGTATATGAACATATTTAACTACACGCGAACAACAACACCGACTGTGGGAATTCGAACCTTTGACCACGTGATTAAAAGCAACATGCTCTACCAACTGAGTTAAGACGACAAGTGACGAAAAGGTTTCAAGCATGTAATTTCTTTATAAATATTAAGGTAGTTTGCCTTTGATAAAGGAGAGAAAAAGCTCGTTTTCCATACCAAAAATCATTAATCACCTTGTATCCCATCCTTAATTTTCTTGTGAATTGCCTTGATTATCCATTCAAATGCAAAATGCGACACATGAAATTCATATCACTACACGTACCTAGTATATGAACACATTCAACTACACATGAACAACAATGCCTTCCGTGGGAATCAAACCCACAACCATATGGTTAAAAGCCACATGCTCTACCAGCTGATCTAAGACAACAAGTGACAAAATGGTTTCAAGCATGTAATTTATTTTTAATTATTAAGGTAACTTGCCTTTGATTAAGGAAAAAAAAAGCTCGTTTGCCCCGAAAATCAGTAATCACCTTGTATCCGATCCGAACGATCCAAAATTTTCATGTGAATTGCCTTGAACAAATTTACATCACTACCTGTACCTAGTATATGAACAAATTTAATTACACATTTAATATAGCGTCATATGTGAGAATTGAACCGATGACCACGTGGTTAAAAGTCATGCACTCTACCATCTGAGCAAAGACGACAAGTGACAAAAAGGTTTCAACCATGTAATTTCTTTTTAATTATTAAGGTAGTTTGCCTTTGATTAAGGGAAAAAAAAGCTTGTTTGCCATACCAAAAAAATCATTAATCACATTGTATCTTATCCGAAATTTTCATGTGAATTGCCTTGATTATCCATTCAAAGGTCGAAGCAAAAGCAACAACTTGGATTAAATTTAGATCATTACCCGTGCCTAGTATATGAACACATTCAACTACAATCAAACAACAACGCCATCTGTGGGAATCGAACCAACGACCACATGGTTAAAAGCCATGCACCCTACCATATGAGCAAAGAAGGTAAGTGCCAAAAAAAACTGAATCCCATTAAAAAGAAAACCCAATAGTTAAGTAGAAAATCCTGCTGGGAAAGTGCTGATCAATGAAGATTTGAACTTGTTTAAATCATGTCCAGTTCTGCAATGTTATGGGATTCCATTGACCCTTGTAGTGCTGCTACTGTTGTATATTCATAAACATATGAATATATACTTTTCAGGCATCAATCTGAGGTACCATAGGACGATGCTACAAAAGACAGAAATCTAAATCAAAACATTAAAGGCTGCCGACAATCCCTATTTCCTCTTCAGCAAACGTTAAAGGTAAGTAGGTAAGTGCATGCACTCTTTGAACTCTTGGTGTGGTTCTGGTGGTTAAAAGAAATTTGATCTTTCTAATTAAGTCGAGTTTGAGCAGTATAATTTATATGTGTGTTTGAGTTTTGATACGTATTTTCAAAAAAAAAAACATGCACTCTTTATTAGATGTCAATAAAGATGGTAAATGGGTACAATTTTATAGATTATGCACCGTATCCGTTCTAATTGGGGACGGAGATGGGTATAACTTTAGTGGGTAGTGGGCGGGTGTGGATTTAGAAAGTGATACTCATCGCAGGTAGTGGGCAAGTGATGGGTTTGAAACCTTACCCGCCCTGCATCCGCCCGCCTTACATCTGCTCGCCCATTAAATACCCATTAAATTTTGGACCATTATAAATTTAGGTATAATTTTTGGGTTTGTCATTTATGTGTGCCAAAGAACAAAAATATTATTTGTTTGTCATTTATGTTTTTAGGTTTTAATTTTGTCTTTTATTATGGTGTTTTATGTACTTTAAGATCTATGTTAACACTTAACTTAGATAATCCCGGTTTATTTTATTATGTTTCTTAATAGACGTGTTTGTTTTATGTTTGTTGTTTATATATAACTTAAGGTTGCTGTCAGACGGGTTTAGCAGGGTACTTCTCCAATTGGGTAGTGGGTGTGGGGATAGATTTAAGAATGTATCCAAATGGGCGGGTGTGAATTTAAAAAATTTTACCCATCATGGGTGGTGAACGAGTGGTAGATTTGAAAATATTAGGTAGATATGAGGATGGGGGAGGGGGTACCCGCATCCGATCCGCCTGTTTGACATCCTTAGATGTCAATATATGAAGTTTTGCAGCAGATGGGGACTGGCAAGATAAATGTACAAAAAAATTGTACTGATTTAAAACGCCGGAATCGAACCCACGACCACGTGGTTAAAAGATAGAGCTGAATTTGATGATCTCTAAAATCTCAATTAAATTTTGAATAAAAGATTATAGTCATCTCATAATTAGTAATTAGCTGACTAATCAACATCTTCCCTCGTTTTCACTGTAAGTAATCTGCAGTGTACATAGTGGCGGATCAATTAAGGACCTATGGTGGGTTAATGTTTATCATAAAATTCGGGTTTTTTTTATAATTATTTGTTTCATTATTTTTTATATAAAAAATTATGTTATTAATATATATATGCATAGCACAATCGAAAAAATATTTCTGAATCCGTCATTATCTTTATAAATATTATCCTTATTTACAGTGTATTAGGAATTATATATAGACTATTCTTACAATTTCAACCCCAAAAACCTTAATCATTAAGAAAATCTTTGAGGGTTGAATATTCTTATATATAGAGGATTAAATTTTTAATTAGGAATTAAATTAAGAATTCAACCCCAAAAGCCTTAATAATTAAGAAATTAGTTGAGGTTTTTCCCCCTTTCAATTTTGAAATTTCAGAGCACTCAATTGTCAAACCCAAATTATTGTTATAGTC